CAAAAGAAAAACAGCTCTGAAACATTTGTTAACACAAACGTAGCAACAAACACAACACCCTGTCCCTACTTGCAAATGTCCCAATCCTCAAGTTGTTTTGGAGGGGTTTTATAACAATGTTATTTTCTTAAAGGTGGAGAAGGTCCCTGGTTTGAGCTATTGAGTTGTAACACTACAGTCAAATAAGAAATTGTAATAACTGACATCATAATGTTCCACTTCCAAAAGACACACACCTGCACAGTGGCAGGATTTCAGAAAACAAATTATATTGATTAGGGTTCAAATGACAACATGCACCTGGAATTTCTTCCTACATCTGACTCTGTGCTTGCTGGGCTTTGCATTTATTCCTGCACTTCCCTAGTAGCTGTGTTTTCAGGAAGAGGATGCTCCCTTAGCTTTTTACTATTCCTAATCTAGCCTCCACATCCTTGCTCTTTACATAGTTTTTCTTCAGCTACCCAGGCTTTATGGTCTCTCAGTTCCTCCACTTTGGCCTTGTCACTTCTACCAACAACATAGTCATACATGTATTTTTGAAGTTTTAACTTAAATTTTAGCCATGTTCTGTGTCATAAGCAATCAGTATCCACCCTGCTAACCTGATCTCCAATGAAACTGTGTAAAACTTAGTACCAGAGGATTTGCTTCTCCTTTTCTATAGGGAGGGTCCATTCCCCACCACACCCTGCTTCGAAAAAAGGGACAGAGATCGTAACAAATATACATATTAAAAAATTAAAAATCCCAGCAACCTCTGCATTGTGGAGGTGGCCCACTCCAAACTCCATTTGAGTGTTCATCAGATGTGCAGAAAATGGTATCTGAGCCGATGAGGGAGAAGGGATCTGAGCCTGCTGGGACATCATCACAGGAGTAGCTCACTGCAGTCTGATACACGTAGTTGGCAGCCTCCGTGTGGTGCCCGTTGGCGATGCTGGGAGGGGGATCACAGGGAATCACTGGAAACCAAGCACACAGCTCACTCAGAGAGAACGCTGGGTGTGTCAGCTCGTTCACCTCAGAAACAGCAAGCCTTGATTTCCAAGGAATTTCACTTAAAATCTGACATAGCTGCTCTAAGGCAAGCTACAGTTGTAGCTGAGAATCTCAATTACAACACGAGGTTGAATTTGATATAATTACCATAACTGGTATTTTTCAGTGGTCATCCTTCAGGCACATCCCAAATAGTTACAATCCCCCCCCCAAACACTCCTATTTTACCATCATTTCTTAGACTGGAAGGTTTATAGCATAGCTGTTTTTAAATGAACTACCACCACCTGAATAGAAAATTAAGCAGTGATTTACTCACCTTCACAGAAAGGCATCTCACGATCCCAATCAACACCTTCATTCCTAATTACACAGGTAACCTGCTGGTTTCCAAATAATCTGTATCTAGAGAGGTAAACATTTTTAAAGAGGTTAAACTTAAATCTCTCATTTCTCCAACAAGCCTCTAAAAAACTGGTTTATACAATTCTGTTCCGTGGTTATGGGGACATAACACACCAAGGTTTTGTTGTAAGGAGAAAAGTATCTTCGTTTGTTTATTTTGCTAACGGTCTCACTTTGAAAACAAAACAGAAGCAATCAGAAACAAAAACAAACAACTCTGAAAACAAAACAGAAGCAAACAGACATCACTAAAGAAACTGATGGAAGTCACATTTTAAGATGTGACACTAATTCCCTGAAGTTACTAATACTAAAGGAGAGAGAGGAAAAACATTGGAGAGTTTAGTACTCCTGGCTTAATTTGCTATACACAAACAAATGGGCCATTGTTCAAAACAACAATGAAGGGTGATGAGTATATATTTATTCCCTCTGCCACAGGAGCACTAGAAGAAAGTCATTAGAGGTAACACTCTACTTTTCACTCTGCAGAATCTCCCTAAAAAGCTGAAGGTTGATGCAAACAGCACTTAAGCCATGAATCAAGCTAAATTTAGCTCCAAGTTCATTTGCTCCAGGTAGAATTCAGATTTCAAATCAGAACTGGAATGGAGCCTGCATAGAAAATTTGGGTTTGGTTCAGATCTGGTGTAAACACACCAAAAAAAAGAAATGGATTAACTTCACCAAAATACTTACCCTTCTCGACAAGAAAAAGTAGCAGTTGAACCAAATGTAAGATCTGTCACATCAACAACACCATTTGCTAATTCTCCTGGGTGCTTACATCTTCTCTCTGGGAGAGTGGGGGAAAAAAGAAAGGAAAAATGTATACCTCTAATTATATATACAAAGTCTTTGGCATATACTGCCCTTACCAACATCAGTGTTTTCCAAAGCGTTGTTTATAACATTGCAAAATACTAATTCTAACTTGCAAAACAAATAAAGTTGTTAAATATCAAAGGGAAAAAGGAAAACGGTACCAAAAAAAGCACACAATTACCTGTACAGAACTGCTCTTGGGGTGACCACTGTAAGTCAGGACCACACGTGACAGTTAAGGATTTTCCAGGGATTTTCATATATCCCGGCCGGCAGACGAAGGAGACTTGACTTCCAACAGGAAAACTCTCTATTCCTCTGAACTTGTCCTCCAGCTCTGCGTATTGCAGCCTGGCTGGAATATCACACGCGTCTGGGAGAGGGAGGAAAAGGGAATACACAACCTTAGCAACAAGAGAAACACACCGAGGTGTAACAGCACAGAAGCCAGGGGAATTCCAGGGGGTTTAAGGATTTACTGGTAAATCCAAGAGGTGACATTCTTAAGAGCCAGAGATATTTTTATATTTAACTAGTTTCAAATTTTAATTTAGATTTTAGTTGCATCCAAATTTTCAACTCTGTACTAGTACTTATTGTTTTCCCAGGTCCTTCAGTGTTCTACCCAGACAATGCATTTCCTTCCAGATCTTATTTTTTGTCTGCCTTTTTTTCTTTTAAGTTAAATACACAACTTAACTCACTGTAAACCCATCGGCAGTGAAATGCTTATTTAGCTTGCTGGAGGAAAAACAAACCAGCCAGCCCCACTCAAATAGCTGATAGTGAAAATATGTTATGAAAATATGTCATGTAGTTTTCACAGGAAAAAGGAGAGCAAGTCTAAGGAGCATAAAGCAGAGTTTTAAAATCAGCTGCACAATCCAACAGAGACCTACAGACCCAGGGACATTCTGGGGTTGGTTAGAATCACAAAATATCCTCAGCTGGAAGGGACCCATGAGGATCATTGAAGTCCAACTCCTAAAGCTGAAGAAATTAAACTCCTCCACACAAAAGGACTCAAAGAAACGCATTCAAGACCCTCTATATGAATCACCAGACTACATGGATCTGCAAGACTTAAACACAGAGACCAGCACCTCTTTGACAACTATCAATCTTTCCCGATCTATTTCTATTATTGTTTAGAAATTGGCCAAACCGGAAAAGAGAGATTTACCAAACCTCAAGCTCAGCGTCCCATTAGCACCAAACGTTTCTGCAGCACCACCTTCCCCTCCTTCGCCCTTTTCAGTACCTGAAAGGGGCTCCAAGAGAGCTGGAGAGGGACTGTTTACAGTGGCGTGGAGTGACAGGACGAGAAGGAATGGCCTCCAACTGACAGAGAGCAGGTTTAGATTGGATATTAGGGACAAATCCTTCCCTGGGAGGGTGGGGAGGCCCTGGCACAGGTTGCCCAGAGAAGCTGTGGCTGCCCCATCCCTGGCAGTGTCCCAGGCCAGGTTGGACGGCGCTTGGAGCCACCTGGGCTAGTGGAAGGTGTCCCTGCCCATGGCAGGGGGTGGAACGGGATGATCTTTATAAGGTCCCTTCCCACGCAAACCGTTCGAAGATTCAACTCCCCCCCCGCCCCCCACAACACCGCCCAAAACCTCGTGGTTCCACCGCCACCACAAGCCATTTCCTCGTCCCTCCCCGAGAAAGCCTCTGGGGCTCCCTCACCCCGCAGCACCGCCGGGACCGGAGCGGGGAGGACACCGCGACCCCTCTCCCTCCTTTCCCCCCTCCCCCGGGGCGGGGGCTCCGCGACGCACCAGCCCCTCAGCGCGCCCCTTCCCCGCAGCACCCCCCGAGCGCGGGGGCAGGGACAACCCGCTCCTCACCCTCAGCCCGCGCTCCGCCGAGCCCCCACAGCACCAGAACCTGCAGCACCGGCAGCAGCAGCGGCGGCGGCGGCGGCCCCATGACGGCGGCGGGGCCGCGGCAGCGCCCGCTCCGCTCTTTCACAGCGCCCGAGACGCAGCGCGGGGCTGGGGCGCATGCGCGGGCCCGCCCCGCCCTCAGCGCCATGGCCGCGCCCGCCATTATCGCCCTCAGAGGAGGGCCCGTCCCCCGCCGTGCGGCTCAGCGGGAACCGCTCGCTGCTTTATTTATTTCACCCCAGCCCCGCTTATGGGCGGTGTTCGACGAGTCCGGCGCGCCCCGCCGGGCCTTCCGCACCGTTATTTGTGCGCGGAAATTCAGAGTCGCTTCCCGAGCGCAGCCCCGCCGTTGTGATTACTTAGTAATTTCCACACAAATTACGTAATGCCGTCCGGCCTCTCCGCATGCTCAGGTGAAGGGTCTGTTTGACCTGTGGCCTGATTTTTAGTATTAAAAGGCGTGGTTTTTAGTATAGAGCATAGTTCCTTGGAATTATGGACTATATTCATGGACCTCGAGTGTTTTGCTATGTTTACATAGCACGCGTCAACATCTCGATTTACTACATCCTTAAAGCTTGTTAGTTCCAGGATGTCCTTGACTAAGGGATGCAGCTTCTGCCTGTTCCACTTATTAGTTCTCCTTTCCTACTGATGAGGCTTGAAAGGATACGAAGATCTTACATCAAAGAACATCCCGACTTAAGATAATCTTGACATGCTCCAAATTCTGCAACAAACTCAGCACGTTCCGTGTTGCAGAGCAGCATTAAAATAATAATAAAATAAAAAAAACCCAAACCACGTACACACAAAAACACAAACAAAAACCCCCTTAAAATTCGAGATAGACCTAGAAAAAACCACAAAATTCTTGTCCAGGGTTCAGCTTTTATTATGTTAAGCATTTGTAGAGGAACACCGCACTGTAAGCGTTGCTGAAAGGAAATACAGAGATGTGAATGCAGCTGTTATTAAGACATTAATTAACATGCTGTGACTCCCACCCCCGCGCAGGAACGCTTTAATGGGACTTGCTTATCCAGATTTTTTGGCTTTGCAGATGAAGTATTCTTGATCAGAAGCAGCACACAGAATTCCCTCGGGGGCAGCATCCGCACCGCGTGCAGTCTGAGCCTCGTTAGATCCTTACTGTAATTAACGGGAGCAGAATGAGCATTAAAGATTTACAGTAAAGTGTCTTATTTTTGCCACAGAATTTCAGTCTCGAGCAGCACTTCCATGCAGCCCTCGCTGTGGAGAACGAGCCAAGTCCCTGCTTAGCAGCCACACGGGTGCCCAGCCTAGGAAAAAGATGACATGCTTGTGTTATAATTAGACTTTTCCTGTTTCCGTGCTGATGTCTAGGGATTACATTGTCACTCAGGGAGGGAGGAGAGAATTTCTGGGAAGTGCTTTGTTTCAAAGAAGTGACCCAAAACCAAGCCTCTTTATAGTCAAAGCTGATTATGCTCAGAGTGCTGCTAACACTGAAAATTCACTCTTTGCTCCAACAGATTCAGCATAGAAAGTAGATTCACCTGTCAGTAAAAATATTATCGTAGTAAGTGTGAAAGCAAGAAAAAAAAAAACAAAAGCCCAGTTCAGTGTCTTTTTCTGACACTACTGCTGGTTAAGTAGTCTTTTAGAGAGCAAGCTCTCCCATAAACCATAAAAAAATTGAAAGCAGCTTTATGTCAGAAGCAAGGACTAGTCTGGAAGTCTGACCTGTGAGCACTATCCATTCAGATTATAGAAAAGGAAAGACACACGGTGAGATCGGTGTCAGAAAGAAAAATAGGATGTCTAAAAAAACCCCAGTATGTTTAAAACAGTCTCTTTTATTCTGCCAAAGAAAACATCTTGCCAGAAGATTAAGGGGAAAGAGGTTTCTGCTTGAATGATTATATTAGAAAAACAGTCATTCAAGTAGGCAATGTAGACAACAATATAAACAAATAAGCATATAATTGTTGCAGCTATAACTGATATTTTATGTTGAGAAATATAAATCCATACCTTCTATGGCAGACATGAGCTTTTCTGTTGAGTTACCAGATTCAGAGGGGTTTGGTAATTGTAATTTTCATATGTACGATAATAGCTAAGTGAAAAAGAAGAAAACAATGAACTGTGTTGCTTTGTAAGAGAACATTCAGGTTGGTCTCCTTTCAGGAAGAGATAAAATGACATAATCACACCATTTATTCCAGCTTGTTCAGTTTGCAAGCGTGAGCTGAAGGTACAGAATCACAAGACCCAGGCACATTCAGGCAAATATTTTTTCAAGTGTATAAAGTGTATAAAGCTTGGCACTTGGCAACAAAGGACGTGAATAAACATCCAGAGGACTGCCTTACCCTTCCTTCTGCTTGGAAACTATTTTCCAGACAATGCCTGCCCCCAGGAGCAGCAGAACTCCCGCGGCTGCAACTCCTGAGAGAGAAGAGCCTGTATTATTCTCACTGTGTGTTTGAAAGCACACAAAAGACGTAACAAGGTGTATCTGCCAAGTAAGCAGAAGGAAGCAGTGCCACTGAGCTAAAGACCTGGCTGCAGGAATGTTTGCAAGCTGCTTACCGAGGCCTAGTGACCCAGACTTGTGTGATGCTGGAGGGAGGAGAAAAAAAGAGAAATCAGCAAACTCTTCTAACAAAATCCAGTGTTTGTCTGCTGTCCTCAATCACTTTACCAATAAACCTTTTAGAATCATAGAATGGTTTGGGTTGGAAGGGATCTTAAAGATCATCCTGTTCCACCCCCTGCCATGGGCAGGGACACCTTCCACTGTCCCAGGTTGCTACAAGCCCTGTCCAACCTGGCCTTGGACACTTCCAGGGATGGGGCAGCCACAGCTTCTCTGGGCCAGCATCTCACTGGTAAAACTGATTTCTTAAACCCACCATTATATACTCTTTTCTTAAATACAAGAAGTTATTTTGCATGTTTAAAATGCATGTGCGTGTTTCTGTCTGATCTTTGCTTCATTCCCATTTCACTCACTCAGTTTACAGGGTGGCACAGGAGGGTCCCAGCTGAAATCCTCTTGGCACTGAGTCTGACTGATGCCTTGCAAAGTGTAACCATCATCACATTCAAGAGTGAGGTTGGTCCCAGAACGATAAGTGTTTCCTTTAATGGCTTTCTTAACACCTTGAACATCCGGGAATTCACACCTGATCTCTGGAATTGGAAGTAATCAAAAAAGGGCATTTAATGAGAGGGACCATAAAACATGAGAAATACAACTGTGGGTTATTTAGAACACGGTTCTTGAATTCCTTCTGAGTGTAGCTAGGAATTAATTCTTATTCCACAGGGTAGTTCCTTTCTTTGTGGCTGCAGAAGTGGGTAAGGGTCTCACTGCCACAAATGAATATTTGTACAGATCAGCTCCTCCACACTGATATGGCAGATGCAAAATCATGTGTAGAAGAGTTACCTTGGGAGAAGCTTGACAGAGGAGATATTTCTGATGCTGGGCTACCAAAACATTTGGAGAGGAAAGATGTAGCAGAGAAGAATTCTGTGGCAGTTTTAGAACCAGCTGCATATAAACCACTTCTAGTCTGTAAAAGTCTCTTGCCCTCCAAAGATGTCATCATCAATAATTCATTCATTAATTAGTCCACCCATCTAAGCTATTTATAAAACTAAAGTGAGTCAGTTGCTTCAATTCAAGCATCTCATCATCTTTTACAGTCCAAGCCCAAGGATTCTATGGGACAAGGTTCTCAGTGAGCAAAGGGATAACATCAGCATGTAATATTTACCGTTTATTTTATGTCATATATACATATACATATATATTTACTATCACTTGTACTACTAATAAAGATACTTCAAAGCCACAAAAATATGGAATGGCTGGCAGAACTTTTCTGAGACTGCTTCCTTTAAGGAGCCTCTGATTTATTTACATAAGTGTTTGGTAAGTTATTTCCTCCCATTGTTATCTGAGATTTTCAATTCTTGAGTCACTGAGGCGGGTGCAGCTCCTTGTGTGGGTAATGATGATGGTTGTCCAGTTGTTCATGCAGGAACACCCACACTAGGAATCCTGTGACGTTCATGCAATTGGCTTTAGTCAAGTTTGCCTGGTGACTGACCTCGGCAGTGCCAATTCAGAGATACAGAGAAGGGAATAGTTGTTGTCATATACAAACCATCCATCAGAGACACTTTCTCTGATATAATCACTTTCTTTGTTTCCTGTTACTGATAACTGGAGAGTGAGACACAAAAGGCAAGGGACACAAAAACGTTTCTACTCTTCTACTAAAAGTAAAAAGCTGTCAGTGGAGAGAATTTGGTGTACACCTCTTTGGGGCAACAGGGGCAGAGATGGAAAACGTGCAAGAGTTAAAACTGCCTATCAGAAGTGCCTCTGTTGGACTCACATCCTTCTGACTGCTAGAGGTTCCCATCCTGCTTCTTACAACAATACCCTTCCCAGGGGTAACAAAGAGTAGATAAATTCCTAGTTAACAGATCAACACTTCCTAGCTGTGACATAAAAGCAGTTCCCAGGCCAAATAAGGGGATGGAATTCAGTGTTAGCTGCAGGAGATCTTACTGCTTAGATTTTGGCCCTTGAATCTCTGAAGATTTAATTTTCTCCCCAAAGTAAGACGTGTATGTCAGTGTGGCTGCACGTCCCTCAGCCCAGTCTGGTTCTGCCACCACAAATTCCAAACAACAGGAGCAAAGGAAGCACAAAACCCACCTTTGCACTGAGGAAGAGGCTGGCTCCAGGTTCCTGACACTGTGCAGTTGATAAAAGCATTCCCAACAAGTGAATAACCAGGATTGCAGCTGTAGGACACAGATGCTCCATAGGGAAAAGTGTGAGAGATGTTGCCTTTGAGCTTCCCGTTGGTGATGTTTGGAGGATGGAGGCACTTCACAGCTGGGAAGTTGGGGAGGGGAGAGACAAACAAGAGGATCCTAAAGGACTGCAGAGAGTGGCCAAGGCACTGTACCTTTGCAGGCTTCATTGTTCCCTCTGAATTACTTCACCTTGGCTCAATAACCTGTACCCCTGTAACTCCATCAGGCTTTGGAAATGGTTATAAACCTGATCTTGTTCTTATCACATTGTGTGTGGTGAAGGACTCAGATGCAGTCCCACAAACCTTTCCCTAAGGCAAGACTTGTTAAATGTCCTTTGTTCTTAGCTCTCTGCTACAAAAACACACCTTGACAGACGGGAGGAGGATGGCTCCAGGCTCCAGATGGTGTGCAATAAATGGATGCTGTCCCAAGGAGAGAGAAGCCGGGATCACAGATGTAGCTCACAGATGTTCCAGGAGTGAAAAACACTTTTGCTGGGCTGCTGAGAGCCCCATGAGTGATATCTGCAGGCTTGGAGCAGTGCAGCACTGAAATCAGAGATGTGCAGATCAAAACAGGGCTCACAGAGGCAAGAGAGAAAACTTTTGAGCAGCTGAACACTCACTCCCACAGCACTGACTCCAACACAAAGAGCCAGCCCTCTGCAAAGAGGGTCAATTATCCCTCTTCCCTCAAAAAAGCAGGACAGGTTGGGAGGAGGAATTAATGTTTAGTAAATCTTTCCTCTTCTTAGGAGAGACCTACCTGGCTTTGTTGTGGTGTTGGGATGATGATAATGTTCTGCCACTCCATCTGGATGCAACACAGAGTTTAAAAATGCGGGTGAGCAAACACAATGTGCAAATTTACCTTCATTTCCCATCATCCTGCATTTACATTTCCAGCACTTCACTCCTCTCTGATAGTCAGTGTCCTGCCTTGAAGCTGCCAAATTTCTCACATTCAGGAAATTAAGAGAATGTGGGTTCTGGATTGCAACAAGCAGCATGAGAAAGTGCAAATCATGCTAATACTTACAGCATTACCCAACCCCTGGCTCACCTCCTGCACAAAAGGAGAGGCATAAATAATAAAAGGAACAATTTCTGGGTTCTCCTTCAAGTAGTCGGAGCGAACAGGAAAAATAAAGGCAACTTCAGCTTTGTTGAGTGGGTGGAGATCAGGGAGGAATCTGCAGTGCTGAAGAGTCCAAGGGCTGAGACTTACCCTGCTCACAGACGGGGAGAGGCGGATCCCAGGATTTCTCAGCTCGGCACTGGGAGGTGTGATGGCCTCGCAAGGTGAAACCTTTGCGGCACTTAAAAGTAACAGTGTCTTTGTATGTGTAGCGATATTTAAGAGGGGTTACCCTCCCATTCCGGATCTGTGGGAGGGGACACACCACCTCTGAAAAATAAATTCGTATTTATGAATATGAAGCCATATTTATGCTTTAATTGGTGCATGTATAAAGTCCATCCTTAGTGTGCTCAGAGGATTTTCACAGGTAGTGCTTGGAGACTCAGAGAAGAATGATTTCAAGAACCAAGGGCTTTTTAGTTCATTTAAGTATCCTAAGGTTGTATTATATATCTGAACATAGTTTGTGGCTATGAACAGAATAGTGCAAATACTTTCCAACAAATGTATTAAATGGGGGAGAAATCTGTAAGCACTGTTAGCCATCCTCATGACTGCTTTACTATCCCAAACTCACCTTCCAAAGCAATTCCAAAAGAAAAACTGACTGCAGTGATCAACCCCTGCAAATAACAGTACAGGATTTGGAAGATTCCAGTTTGGTTTTACTCGATGTCCCACTCTTCTACTGCAAAACACATTCCTTCCTTGATTTATTATTTATATTTGTGAAACAAAAAGGGACAAATCCCTGCAGGCATCTCACAGCTCTTCAGTCTACATTTCTATGGCAGATCCAAAGCTTACATCTGGAAGATTTTTAGAAGAAACCAAACATGCAAGCACCAAAAAAAACCCCTATCCTAGGGGAATATTATGCTTTAAAAGTCATATTCCTCTAATTCTATTTATTTAAAAGAAATGCCACTTTTTGATTTTAAGGACTTAATTTGCCAGTTCTGGGCTCAATCTAGTGGTGACCTACTTACTCTGACAAAGGGGAGGAAGACCAGTCCATGTGAGATCTCGTCCAAAAATCACACATCTCCTGTGAGACTGTCCAACCAGCCGGTGCCTGGAGTTACAGAGACACAAATATCAGCTGATTCCAGGTCATTCAGCTTGGATTTTGCACTCCCACTCTGACACTACCCCCAGAGGTTTCCCTCTGCAGCCTCCTGATTCTGGCTGGTCACCAAGGTGTTTCTGCTGCTTTGACACATGGGAGTGAAGGACACCAAGTTCCTTCTTCCAGGGGGAACAACACTGATCCCAAATGACTCCGGGTCAGGTTGGTCAGGTGCTAAATCAGGACTTGGACCCAGCTGATTTCCAAAGGGCTGGAGCCTCCTTGCTGGCACTCTCAGCTCCTGCTTGGTGGCCGTCTGAGGATGCAAAACTGAGACTGAGGTGTGCAAATTAATCTACTGAGCACAGGAAGGGAAAAATGAGACACTTCTCCCTTTCCTAAGCTGGCAAAATTGGAACCAAAAATCCACATTCTGGCTTGCTGTGGGAGAACAGCTGCTCAGAGGAATGGGCTCTGATGCTTCACCACAAGTTGCCCAACACCAAGCTCAGACACAGTCAGGAAAGGCAGCGTGGGACTTACCCTTCCTCACACGTGTGGCTCACGGTGGACCCCAAAAAGAGATCTGTCAGAACAACAACTCTGCCATTCTTGGGTGTTTCTGGATATATACATTGCTTCCCTGGGAAAGAACAAGGCTGAGTTTAAACTCCTCTCTTGTAGTCATGTAACACATTATGAGAAGGTATCTTAAGGCTCTGTCCACATTCTGACACCAATAATTTTGATTTCCAAATGGCCAGTAATGGCCCAAACTCTGTGACTAGTGAAGCCATGTATGAACCTTTTTTTTTTTTTTTAAATAAGAAACCCACAAATCAGACAATTTCCAACAACACCAAACTGATGGAGCTATTCACTTTTACAAAACTCTAGCGCTTCAGACCACGTGTGGTTTTTGAGGCAAGTCAGAGTTGGGGACACTCCGGGGCGTCTCATGTATCCTGGCTGGCAGCTGTAGCGCACGGTGTCCCCGGCAGCAAATTCCACCTGATTTCTGTGTTCCTTAGTTAGCTGAGCAAAGGTGAAGTTTGGAGGTGCACCACAGCCACCTACCAGGAAAGAAAACAGGGGGAAAAATAGGGATATCAACCACACAAAGTGGTTTTAAAATGTCTGTTGAGCACGCACGGGTGAGTTTACAAGACGAACGGAAAATAAAGGGGAAGGGCTGAAAGATTCCAAATTTTGGCACGGGTAAGGACAAATCCTACAAACTCCCAGACTGTCCATAACTCCCAGCTTGGAACCACAGTGTACCTGCACACCGAGGGAGAGGGAGGCTCCAGTTGCCAGAGTCAGTGCAGTAGATGGATGCCTCTCCCAGGAGGCTGTACCCAGGGTCACAGCTGTAGTTTACAACCATCCCAGGGGGGAAAACTTCCAAGTCCTGGCTGTTGTGATTTCCATTGTCAATAGCTGGAGGTGAAGGACATTGCAGCACTAAAGAGGGAGGACAAGACAAAACTGAGAAAAGGGCAAGGACATGATGCTTAGAGGGCTGAAGTGATTCTTCCGTGAAGACAGGCTGAGGACATTGGGGTTGGTCAGCCTGGAGAAGAGAAGGCTCTGGGGAGACCTTAGAGCCCCTTCCAGAGAGATGGAGAGAGACTTTGGACAAGGGCCTGGGGGAATGGCTTCAAACTGGAAGAGGACAGGGCTAGATGGGATATCAGGAAGAAATTCCTTCCCTGTGAGGGTGGGGAGGCCCTGGCCCAGGTTGCCCAGAGAAGCTGGGGCTGCCCCTGGATCCCTGGAAGTGTCCAAGGCTGGGTTGGACAGGGCTTGGAGCAACCTGGGCTAGTGGAAGGTGTCCCTGCCCATGGCAGGGGGTGGAACGAGAATCTGATTTTAAGCTTCTTTAACTCAGTGCCATAGGAAAAGGATCACTATTTCTAGGAGCCAAATCCTCCAGAAAAGGAGAAATTACAAGGCTTCCTCCCACAGCATTTTAAAAAAACTAGAAGCATCTGCAAAACGTACATTTACAAAACTCCAGGGCTTCAGACCATGTTTGATTTTCAAGACATGTAATAGTTGGTGGTATTTGTGGCTCTTTCACGTATCCAGCCTGACAAGTGTATTCCACAATCTTCCCAACAGGAAACTCAGTCTGATTTTTATACTCCTCGTTCAGCTCAGCAAACAACAACTTTGTTGGTGTGCCACAACCAGCTGCCAAGAAACAAAATGCACATGAGAAACACATCCTTGGTTGTGAAATGCAGTTAGAAAGAAACAAGTGCATTTATAGGCACTGTTAAACCCCAAGGTATCAATATACCTTCTATGTATTCTGATACATTTGAACACAGAAATTAACATTCAGCATGTAAGGACACATGCATCTAATTTACATGCTCTTAAAAAGCCCCCAAACTAAAACAATGCCTCCAAAAACAGTTTAAAAAAATATGACACTCCCAAAAATAATTTAAAAAAAAATGCCCCTGAAAAATACAATGCCCCCCAAAAACACAATGCCCTTAAAAATAGTTTAAAAAATTTTATGCTCCCAAAAAATTTAATGCACTCAAAAATAGTTTAAAAAATATAATGCTCCCAAAAAATATAATGCACCCAAAAATAGTTTAAAAAATATAATGCTCCCAAAAAATATAATGCACCCAAAAATAGTTGTTAAAAAGATATAATGCACCCAAAAATATAATGCACCCAAAAATAGTTTAAAAAATATTATGTTCCCCCAAAATACAATGCCCTTAAAAATAGTTTAAAAAAATGTTATGCTCCCGAAAAATATAATGCACCCAAAAATAGTTTAAAAAAAATATTATGCTCCCCAAAAATACAATGCCCCTAAAAATATTATGCTCCCCAAAAAGACAATGCCTCTAAAAATAATTTTAAAAAATATAATGCTCCCAAAAAATACCCCCAAAAATAGGTTAGCCAGTTTGGTGCTTTCACACTCTGCACATCCTACACATCTCTGCCATCACACATTGTGCCATCTTTGGGCTGTAGAGTGCAGGAATCTTCAATTCCAGTACTTAGAACACCCAAGCCTGCCTCTTTTTGGGAAACCACGGGCTTTAGCAATGCCACCAGCTCATTGCCAATGCCACCAAAGGGGACACGGCTCCTGCACGTGCTGGAAGCACGTTTAGACCCCCGGGTGTCACTGGACACGTGGTTCCTGCCACTCGTGCCAGCTGTGGCTGTTGGCAGGTTTGGCTGACCCAGGACGAGCCGAGCACGGGGCGGATGCTCAGCCAGCCATGAGAGCACGAGGGGGCAGCTGGTCCCACCTGCACAGCGTGGGTGTGGAAGGCTCCAGCTCCCCGAGGCCGTGCACCAGATGGAAGGGTCTCCGAGGAGGGAGAAGCCGGGCTGGCAGCTGTAGTTCACCGACATCCCGCTGGTGAAGTTGGCCCCGAGCTCCGCGCCGTGCGTGGCGTGGGCGATGACGGGAGGCTCAGGGCACAGCAGCACTGCCAGGGCAGGAGCACAGAGCAGAGTTTTAGTGATTTTGCCCGGCAGAGGAGCACGTGTAACGCAGCAAAGGACTGTCACACCTGAAGTGAGGTGGGTGAGGCAGAAAGCACGACCTCAGGGCCACTCCAGCATAGCAAGCATAGAATCATTGAATGGTTTGGGTTGGAAGGGACCTTAAAGATCATCTAGTACAGGGACACCTTCCACTAGCCCAGGTTGCTCCAAGCCCTGTCGAACCTGGCCTGGGACACTTCCAGGGATGGGGCAGCCCCAGCTTCTCTGGGCAACTTCTACCAGTGCCTCACCACCATCACAGGGAAGAATTTTTTCCTAACATCTAATCTAAACCTACTCTCTGTCAGTGTGAAACCATTCCCCCTTGTCCTGTCACTCCAGGCCCTTATAAAGAGTCTCTCTCCACCTTTCTTGTCAGCTCCCTTCAGGTACTGGAAGGCTGCAATTAGGTCACCCTGAACCCTTCTCTTTTCTGGGCTGAACAATCCCAATTCCCTCAGCCTTTCCTAATACCAGGGATGCTCCATCCCTCTTATCAACTATGGACTCGCTCCAACAGCTCCATGTCCTTCCTGTGCTGGGGATCTCAGCGCTGGAGGCAGGTGGAGTCTCACCAGGACAGAGCAGACGGGCAGAATCACCTCCCTCAACCTGCCGGCCATGCTTTTTTTGGGTGGCCTCCTTCTAAACCCACACGTGCCCGTGCTCACCTCGCTCACAGGTGGGCACAGCAGGCACCCAGCGCCCGTCGGGCTGGCACTTGGCTGCACGGCTGCCCCGCAGGACATAACCTGGGTGGCACTGGAAGGTGACGTTGGCCCCAGGAAGGTACACAGCCCTCCGGCCTTCAGCCACCTCTCCATCCCGGATGCTGGGGCTTGTGCAGGTGATCACTGCAAGGGAAAAGTGTCAAAGCAACGGGCTGGGGAAGCAGCTGCCAGAGCTTGTTAAAAACAACCCACCCCGTTTGTTTTTAAGAGGTCAAAATTCAGGGGAGGCCGTGCGACCGCCGTGGTCTCCCTTTTCCCTGTGGGTGACAGCATTTACAGCTCACCTTCACACCGGGGGTAAGGGATGCTCCAGGATCCAGATGTCAAACAAGAAACTGTTGTTTTCCCGGTGAGGACATACCCCGGGTCACAGGAGTACTTCACTGACATTCCAGGGATAAACACGTCCACATCCTTGCTGTCGTGCCGGCCATTTTTGATATTTGGAGGGGAAGGACATGGCAGCACTACCAGGAGGGAAAAAGTCCTAACTGGTAAAGAGCTGGTACCACAACCCCCCACTGTAGGGTGAGGCAGCCTTTTAACTTCTTTCTTTCCCATCAACTTGTGCCCAGTAGCTACTAAGGGATGTGACTGAATGATATTTCCATCCTACCCTCACTTACCTTCCAGCCTTCATGTTTTTTGAGCTTATTGAACCAAGAATGATAATTTCTCACTATTTAGGGAACTACAGTGGTTAGTTTCCATCTGTGGCCCTGACAGCTTGCTCTGGGCTTTCTGTGGCTGTGAATGAGATCGGACACCAGTCTGGCTCCCAGTCCCTTTGTGGAGTCATTTAAAGAGGTGAAAGTCCTACATTACAAAGGTCTGAATTAGAAAAATCATAGAATCATTTAGGTTGGGAAAGACCTTTAAATTCATGGGGTCCAACCAATAACCCAGCACTGCCAAACCCACCACTGAACCATGTCATCTGCATGTCTTTGAAATCCTTGTTCCAGTGCTTGAATGGGGATTATGGAGGTGGGAGACAGATCTGATTTTCCCTTCCAGTCCTTGCGAGTAGCCCCTTTACCTCCAGTGTGAGGTGTTGCACCCTGCCAGCTGCACTCACACAGTGGTTCAGAAGAAATCAGCTGCCACCCTCCACCTCATTTGCACTTACTCTTCTCACAGGTGGGGAAAGGAGGGTCCCACTTGCCCCCAAACTGGCAGCGAGACTGTTGAGAGCCCCTCAAGGCGTAACCAAAATCACATTCGAAGACAGCAACATCCCCAAGTCTGTACGTGGTCTCCAGCCCAGTCGTTCTTCCATTCTGGATCTGTGGGCTGTCGCAGCCAATTGCTGGAAGAAAAGAGCACAAAGCACTGCTGGGGATGTGAAACCCATCCTGGGTGTGGAGGAACACTGAGCAGAGGCAGTACCTGCTGCTGTACATCACTGTCGTGGGCATGTCAACATTATCAGCTTTTTCTTACACAAAATATCATTATTCAGCTGTTCTGAGAGTTTGCGCTTAGCGGGAACAGAAAGGGAAACCCTCAGAGGCAGATAGGGCTCCTCCTGCCTGGGGGAGCTTTGATCTCCGCCTCTCGCTGGAGGTTTGGTCTGCAGCGCTTAGAACAAGAGCCAAGAAGGAAGAAGGGGCCCAGAGAGGATGAGAGGAGCCAACACAAACACACCTTCACACCGGGGCCGGGGCCGGCTCCACGTCCCGGCGGCAGTGCAGTGGATGGAGGCGTTCCCGATGAGGGTGTAGCCCTCCGAGCAGCTGTACTGCACAGCCGAGCCCGGGAGGTGCCTGTCCGAGGGCTGGCCGCTGTGCTTCCCGTTGGGAATGCTCGGAGGGGGAGGACACTTCACCTCTGCCAAGGAGAGGGAAAAGGAGGTAAGGAATATGCACAGGGCAAGAAAGAAAATAAAGTAAAAACACAGCCTTCTAAAAGCAAAGGAGGAAGGCAATTAACTCCATTGACTCCTGTGGATAAATATCTGTCAGAGCCATGGGATTTCCTCCTGCCAGTGACAAGCAAACCTCGCCGGTGGGGACACCACAGAGCCCTCCCAGCCCTACCTTGGCACCGCGGCGCTGGCCCGCTCCACGCTCCGTGCTCCCCGTCTGAGGAGGTGCAGAGGATGGAGGGATCTCCTGCCAGC